CGCGGCGCGGCGCCCTTCAGGTCCAGGTGCACCAGGCGATGCCGCATGCTCTGGCCTCGATTGCTTTGGTCTGTCGCCGCGCCGTCCCGCCGCACTCCGCCAGGCCGCGTCCCGCTGTCCTGTCCCCGCTGTCCCGTCCCCGCCCGCCCGCGCCCTGCTGTCCCGCTGTCTCACTGTCCCGCTGTCTCCGTGTCGCGGTGTCCCGGCGCCGCCCATCCGCCGCTCCCGGCTCGGCGCTGGATACTCCCATTGCCTCTCGGCGGCCGGGGGCGTTCCCCAGGCAGGCAGACCGGCAGGCCGAGGCGAGGCGCGCCGAACGCATCGCTCGAGGCTGAGGAGGCGCGATGGCTCCGCAGCGGCGGGCATTGCCCCGCGGCCCCGACAGCGCCGGGTCGGGACCGGGACCGGGGCCGAGCCGCGGAGGCCGCCGGCACAGCAGGTACCGGTGTGGATCTCTGGCCGGAACCTCCCGCCAGACCGCTGTGCCGGGGGTAGCGATGCTCAGGCCCGGCGGCGCTGCGGGAGCTCGGGTGGGGAGCGGGCCGGCACCGCGTGTGTTTGTAACGCGTTTGTTGTGCTCAGACCCAGCGGCACCGCGGGTGCAGGCCCGGGGCTCCCCGGGATCGGCCGTGCCTCGCTCACCGGGCCTGTTCTGTGCTCCCTCCGCAGCGCCAGGAAGAGCAGATTCCAGCAGGATCCCCGGGGAAGGTGGCTGAAGGCGGCGATTCTCCTCCTCCTCTCCGCTGCGGCCGGCGGTGCTGGCCTCGTGGTCTGGAGCCGCCTCCGCGCCCAGGATGCGATCACCGAGGGTGGAATCCCTGCAGGTGGGGTCACCGAGGTGCTGGCACATCGCAGCGACAACCTGCGGGACAAATTCGTCGAGATCCCCTGCTCGGAGGACTACGACAGCCACAAACGGTTTGAAGGTAACTGGACGGGGCTGTCTGAAATGGGTTGAGGGTACTGAGAGGGCAGTAACAGCCTGGCTGCTGCCTGGGCCTGTGAACCAAACTTGGGCTGCAAAACTCGAGTGTTTCCAGCAAACTCCTGGTAATTGCCGCAAACTCTTAAAGCCCTGAACATTCGGACCTCTTAGGCCAGACCAGAAATTGATTCTGAGAGGTTTTTCTGCCATTCTTACGTAACTCTCTCTGAAAATGCTTTGCTTGGGCTCTGTGAAAAAAAACCTTTTGCTCAGTCTGTTTCTAGTTTATTTTCATACTCTGTTATTGATCCCTATAATAGGCTAGTGAGAGAGTTTGTTGCTGGTCAGCACTATACAGGGTATGGAGTGGAGTTGATTYAGGACATTGTGCCACCAGTGTGTGGTAATTGCACAAGTGCCAATTTCTAACACACTTGTTCTGAGATGTGTGTCTGCCAGTACTTAAAGGGAAGCTCCAGGAGACAGAAGCTCTGTGGCCCTTTGCAAAGAGCCACATRGAGAATAGAAGGCACAGTGGGTACAGGTTGCATTGGGGCAAAATTTTATCATGTTACAAAAAAAATTTTTACACAGTCACCGAACAGAACAGAACCTCCCCAGGGATGCAGTGGAGTCTGTGTGACTGAGGCTTTTCAGGGTAGGACTAAGCACTGTGCTAGATAATCTTATCCAGGYTCTCTTGACCAGAAAAAGCTGAACCAGGTGATCTTTTGAGGTCCTTTTCCACCTGGGCTGTTCTGTGATTCTACAGTTTTTAACTTTCTTCTGGTGCTAGTTCTGATAGGAAATGTTTGACTAATTGCAGGCCCCTGTGCTTGTCAGGTGTCTGTTCTGGTGCTGTTGGTCAAAAAGACTTGTAAGATAAAATAAAAGTTTGTATGTAACCTAGGTTCAGATAGCTTTTCCTCTGTGCTGCTACTGTAGCATCTTTTTTTGGAAGATTCATCCCAAATGTTATTTAGGCTGAGGAAACAGATGAAAGGAAGCTACCAACAAGGAAACAAAGGTATTTTTTTTTTTATTTAACAGTGAACATGAAAACACGTGTTTTGTGTTAACTTTTCATAATTATTGTAATGAGAAACTGCTGCTGGCTGCATTTGCATAGTGCGAGGCCAGAGAAAATTGTAGCTGGTAATTTGGTTGAACTGGGGCTAAAAGTTTCTGGAGGCTGCTACTGGGGCTTTTGCTTAACAAGAGAAATCCCCCAAACCTTGTTTTTCTCTTTCCTGGTTTACAAAAACAATTTTTTTGAGCTGTGAACTTTAGTCTTGGCCACTTCAGTCAGTTACTCTTCCTTGTTAGATAGGCAAGAAGTGTTAGGAAGGCAAGAAGTGTGAGGAAGGCAGGAGCTTCAAGGTCACCTCTCCAGAAAGAGAATGAATGTGTTCTTTATTTTTGGGGGTGTCATGGGAGCAGCAACAAGTGCTGACTACAGGGTGAGGTTTCACCTCTTGGCTTTGTATGAGGATAATTCACTTGCCTTTCTAGTTAGATTTTTGCTTGGTGCTGCTGCTGAAGTTCTGTGATTGATTTGGGTTTTCAGCAGATGTTGTGGCTGTGCTTTCCGAGGATGGGTGGTGTTAGAAGTGCCTGAGCAGCTGTTAATTGGTTAATTAAAGCCAAGCTGCAGTAAGGAGCTCTGCGCTGAGCTTTTCCCCACGCGAGGGTGGTGCTGAGCTGCGCCGGAGCTTCTGTGTCCYGTTCCCGACAGCAGAAAATGCGGATTAAGCTCATTGTCCAACTGGATCAGCTCGGGAGCTTTAGTCACTCGGGAAATAGGTTTGTCACTCAGTAGCTTTTCATTCTCAGTCTTTGCTCTGGCTTGGCACCCGCAGCTGTGGGCTCTGTGTCAGGAGGAGTGGTGACATTCCTGTCACCACTCARTGTCAGATGCTCAGCTGTGAAGTTTCCACAACTAAAATGAGCTTTTTATTTATACACCTGTCCCTGCTTCCAGCTGAACTTGGTGCGACTGAGCTTCCCGTTTGCTTCAAGTGATTTGGTAGCTGGTGTTAGAGCAGGGTTTATTTCCCTGCCTGCCTGTAAACATGCTTTATACAAAATAAAATTTGCTGTTATTCAGAGGCCAAGCACTTAGTGTATTTGCAGRAGGTAGGGTGTTATGTGAGCACAGTCTCACCTGCATTCTAAACTCTGTGGCCAGATTTTGGCCATTTCTGCTGTCCTGAGCCGTGGTTAACTACTTAAACCTACTGTGACTACTGCCTGTGATGAAATCTTACTGCTCCTGTTTAGTTTCTCMTGTGTGTTGACATATTGTGTCAGTGCACAAAGCATCCATGGTCACTGCCCAGGAGACAGAGTTAAAGGTGCTTTTCCAGAGACAAGATCAGGGGATGTGGAAAGCAAAGATGTCTGTGAGAAAAGTGACTGGAAGGGTTTGACACAGACTGCTATGRGGGTGGCAGCTGTAAAGCTTTGCCTGCTCTTGTCCAGCTTTGAGATGGATTGTGTCCTGCCCAKGGCAGGGGGTCGAGAGAGAGGATCTTCAAAGTCGCTTGCAACCAAACCATTCTATGATTCTGTTCATGAGGGGAGCATCTTGATGGGGCTTTTTTCTCCTGTGGATTATCTCTATTTCACCAGTGTGTGGTTCTTGGTTAAACACCACTAAGTMGGAGCACAGCTGCAGTTTGAGCTCTTGGTTCTTTGTGTCACATTCTGGTTTCTGTGCTGAATAAGAGCATGGGCCAGAGGCAGTATTTGTGGTTTTACACATTTTGGTATGTTTCTCCTTTACCTCGATTTACCTGATATCCAAAGCTGATGGTGCCTTATTAGATAAAGGGATTGGATTTGCCAACTGGGCACGAATTTGTGGAAACCATTGGGTACCTCTAATACTAATCTGAATTTCGCCTGAGATTCTCCAGGTRTACTTTTAGCCCTCATTGTTGCCATCTTCTCTGAGACAAAGAAGACACATTTCTTACTGCTGAAATAGTTTTCAAGCAGACTGTTCTGATTTTTTCTTAGCATTCACCCACTGTTTGTGCTGTACTGTTGGTACCTGACTGACTTTATGCTGGACTACATTTTTCTGTTTGTTGGGGTTTTTTCTCCATTTGGGAAAGCTTRTGCTGTTGCCTTCAGAACACCTCCTGCTTCCAGTACTGTTTTTGCCAGTTCCCTGTTAGTGACCCCAGACATGTAACAATTGTCTGAGGTAATCCTGGAGTTTTGCCAAGTCTGGACTCTCCAGCACCAGCCTTTCCTAAAGGATAAGAGCAGTGCTGATGTTTGCAGCCAGAAAAGGAACAAATCTCTTCTGAAATCAGAAATCTTTGCAGAATGTTATAGAAAGSAAGCTCTCAATAGGCAGGTTTGTCCTGGAGTATTGAATTTCTCCTTTGAGTTTATTCCTTCCTAGCTCTTCTCTACTTTCAGCTTTTCCTTTCAGTCCACCTGAGACATGGATGGGGTATATCCAGTAAAGTGAAGTGCTTACAAAATTCCTGGCAAAACATCTCCTGTCAGCCTGGTCAATRTTACTGGTTGCTTTTGATCAGAGCAGACCAATGTTTTTGTCCTCCTTGGATGAATTGATTAAAGTCTTTCCAGGAATTTTGTGTTCTGATGAATAAATAATCCTAGAAGTGGCACTCAGTTCAGCAGCACTGAGAGTACTGGCAGGTGTCAGAAAACACACTCAGCCCCTGTCTCCTGTGGCTTCACATCTCTATAGGGATCTTTCYCAGAAAAGTGCCAACTGTAACACCCCAAGGTCTCTGGTGGCTCAGAACTGATCTTATCTTTTCTTGCCTGAAGATTGTTGACAACCAGACTTACAAGAACTTTCATATATTCTTCACCTGGAACTCTTGCTGCTGACTTGTTATTCCCAGGAGCTTTTAAAATTTAATGTTTGATTTCTTAGCAATGAATTTTAGGAGACTTTTTTATCTTACATGTCCAAACTGTATGCGTCAGGAGTGACTTAAAGAGAGACTTTTGTGCAAAATCTCAGTAAAAACGTGCCCTTCAGGTGGTTGAAGTGGTTTCAATGAGTTCTTTTCTTCCTCTTTTTGTTGCAGGGTGTACTCCTAGGAAGTGTGGAAGAGGTGTGACTGATGCTGTAATCACAAGGGAAGAAGCTGAAAGAATTCGTAGGTAATTTCTCTTTTAGCTCTGACTTTTAAAAGCATTGACTTTAATGACATTGTGCCAATCTGAGGTGTAGCACAAAGCCAGGATGGGTGAGCAGGATGGRTTATTCTGATTAAAATATGAAAGTTTTGTTAATAAAACCGTTTTCCATTTTTGCTGTAGTGAGGGCAGTTCTTTCTCACAGAATCTGCCTGGCTCTGAGGGGCATGAGCACTTCACAGAAAGAAAGGAAAATGAATTAAATAAGTTTTAAAGGATTTTCACTTGGCCTTCATTTGGCCTTCAAATGCAGAATGAAACAATGTGAGCCTTATTGCAGCTGTGTCTCTGTCTGGGTAATCACCAGCTGGTGCTGGCCCTGCAGTCCTCTGTGAACACTAAATGGGAAGTTGTAATCAAAGAGTAGAGGAACTGTCAGATTGTACAGTTAGAAAAGTCATCAGTCTCTCTTGAGTGTGATTTGCCCTTGCTGATCATGGAGTGGGGTGTCAGCAATGCTGGAGTGCTGTGCAGCTCTTGAGCTCATTGTTCACTCTGATTCAGACTCACTTGGGCTCCTGACTGCTACAGCTTCCCTGCGTTTTACACTTTATCTGTACTGCTCCCAAAAATAAAGATTGGGGGGAGGTTTAGGTTTAATCTTACTTGGCCAGAATGTATTTGAAAAACAAAATCTTTAGGGTATTTTTGGGATTTGTGGAAGGAAGCTGAAAGCTCAGAAATGTTCTGCAACACAAATACTTTGTTACATCTTGACAGGATGTAAGAGTCAGTTTCAAATAAATGGGAGCTTCTATTAACTCAATTGGGTTATATCTGATGCATCAAATACCACTTAGYGAGGACGTTGTAAATAAGTTGTAAATACGAGTTGTTTTACGAGTAAGTTGTAAACAAATAAGTTGTTTACGAGTKGTAAATAAGGACATTAAAGGATAAAGTAATCAGACTTCAGTTCTCATCTGAGATTATTGTTTTGCCTGCAGAATAGCAGAGAGGGGACTGTCCTTGGGAGGATCTGATGGAGGGGTGAGCAGTGTCCTGTTACTTTCTACGTTCTTTTACTGCCAAGGCAAGGTTATAAATGCATTTTTTGKGGCTGAGGTGAGGAGATGGAGATTTTTTCCTTCCATTCAGACTTGGAAAAAAATTGGTTTGGAAAGTTATTTCCCRTTAAYACTTCTRCTAGCARTGTAACTCMTTSTTGTGGGTTAAKGTTTCTCCTTTTGTTTCCTTTCTTGAAGAATTTTCTTTCCCATTTTTGTTGCTGGGATGCACTGATTGCCAAGTCATTCTTTTGATGGCTGGGAGGTTGGGGAAGAAAAAGGAGGGTGCTAGGCCCTGGGTGGGGTCGAAGGGTCTCTGTGGGTACTCCTCCTGCCTGGCAGGTTTTTTTTCCCTCTCTTTGGAGAGAGGGAAGTTCTTGTGGGAGTTTTGGGCTCGGGGAGGGTGTGGGTGTCTGTGGGGCGGGGGKTRGCTTCACTTCCTGCCCTGCTTGGCTTGGGGGAGGACGGTGGACCTGCTGCCTGTGGGGAAGAGCTCGCCTGCTGCAGCAGAACCCAGTGGCTTGTTGTCAGTTCCTGTTTGTTGCACTGTGATCTTCTGCCCCGTGCCTTTCCGGGGACCCCAGAAATTCCAGCTGCAGTGGTTGAGTTTTGCTGCATCCCGTCTGCAGCCACAGGATTCTGCTCCTCTTTTTGCCCATCTGGCTCTTCTGGGGTTTCTTGCTGTCCAGACCCTGTGAGTTTGTAGGGGAACTTTTCTCCATCCATCTCTGCCAGTTTGTCCCCCTCCTTGGATTTGAACCATCCCGGATAGCGCCCCCGGCAGGCTGTGACCGTCACTGCACCAAAGGGGAGGCTGTGCCTCTGTGTGAAGCTGKCATTGGGTTTGTGGCTGGGTTGGCTGTTGATATCGTTGTTGTTACTTGTTTCACCTTGTTATACATATTAGCAAAAAGTGTTATTCCCTTTTACCCATATCTTTGCCTGAAAGCCCGTGATTTTCAAAGCTATAATAATTTGGAGGGAAGGGGGGTCATATCCACCACTCCAAGGGGGGTCCYTGCCTTCATTGGCAAACACCTGTCTTTCAAACCAAGACAYTCCTGACTTCTGCAATACAGTTGCCATTTCCTTGTGTTCAATTTACTTATTTCTAGCACCTCTCTTGAACTGATTTCATTTTCATCTGGAAACAGTTGCTATAGCAGAACTGTAAAAGTTTGACTTCTGAAAGTAAATTACAGTGGTTCACAGCATTCACAGCGTAAAGATTGGTTTTGGGTAGACAAAAAAGCCATGTAATGTCTTAAATAGACCTTGGCATAATATTTTTTAAAATGAAAGCAATCCTATTTCTCTTTAACAAGCACATTTATTTTAATTTCTTTCCCCCATCTTTGTTCTCAGAATGTTTTTGTTTAAGAGCAGGAACTGTTTCTTGTGTATTTGTAAACATAGCCAATTCTTTAGTCATCTGCTGAATTAGGGCATAAATTAACAAAAAAAGGAGAAGGGTTTCAATGGGGAAAAAAAAAGATTTGATTGTCCTGGTGATTGCTGAGAAAGATCTGCAAAAAATATAAACTGAGAAACTTAAGCAGTGCTGCCTGTCTCAAACAAKGTGTTTTAAAGATTTAACATTCTGTGTTCGGTTCTGTTGGTATCCCTGGGGTTTTTTTTCAGGTCTGTGGTTGCATAATTTGCCACTTTCCTTGGCTTGCTCTGCCTGTTGGGACCCCCAGTTTGGCTCCTGTCATTGAGGCTGTCACGTGGGTTACCTCTCTTCCACTTTTGGGACCTACGTGGGATTTTTCATTACACTTCCTCAAAGAGGGATTAGAATGGCAAGGTATAACACATAGAGGTTGCATTTGGAGCACAGAAAAATGTTGTCCAACTGAGGGTCGGGAAACTGAGGCAGAGAAGGCTTGGAAGAGATGAGGGGGGAAGGTRAACTTGCTGCCCAAAGCCCAGAGCTGGGCAAGAGTGCTGAGCTGGCACAAGCCATAGTGACAGACAAATATAAATGTTATTTTGGAAGCTTCATTGGCCTTTTTTTCGAAGGGAGGGGAAATGAGGGAGAGGGGAAGATTATTCTCTCGCTGCAATAAAATAAATCTGTTAAAAATCTGATGTCCATGGTGAGGACGAGGTCTGGGCTCTGAGCCAGACCTTCTCACGTCTCATCATCTGTAAATGTGAGGAAGTTCTTGTATGCTGTTAATCCTTAGGGACAGGTTCAAGAAGAAAGTGTAATGTTGTGTGGAGGTTTTACCCAAAATAACGGATAAAAACTGAAAAATGTTAGAAACAAGAGCTGACCAGTGTTTATGCGAAACTGTAGAGTCATAGAACGGGTCATAGTGTGGTGTGGGTGGGAAAGGACCTTAAGGACTATCCATGGGCAGTGACACCTCCCACTGTCCCAGGCTGCTCCAAGCCCCAGTGTCCAGTCTGGCCTTGGGCACTTGCAGGGATGGGACAGCCAAAGCTGCTCTGGGCAGCCTGTGTCAGGGCCTCCCCACCCTCACAGAGAAGAATTATTTTCAGGAGAAGCCTTTAAGTCCACTCTTCTTCCATAGTTTCTTTCATACTTGTTCATCCTGTGCTGCCATTTCCATCTCCCTTTTCCCATGTGCCAGCCTGTATTCCCATTGTCGTGGGGTGAATCTTTGCCTGGTRGTGCTATCCTGGCTCTCAGACACTGTTAGATCCGTGTGCTGATGGGCTGTAGATGAAACTGTCTGTCTTCATTTGAGCCTTTCATCTTTTCCAGTCTCTTACCCACAGAGAGTACAGAATGTTTCAAGCCATAATTCATCCTGTTGTGTCTCTATGCTTCCAAGCTTTAAGGCACTTGGAGAAGGTCTGACTTGTTGCTTAGTGTGTTTGAATAATTCTGTCCAATTTTGTCTGCTGGAAGACTAATTTTTTTTTTTAATACCTCAAACTCACTGTTGCTGTTTAATTATTTTTATTTCTTTCTTAGTCACTTTGTTCTCTCCACTATTCCAAATAAAACTTGTACAGGTTTCTTACTGAAGTGCAGACTGCATTTTCATTGCCTGGGGTTTCCTCTTAACCCCTTTCTAAGCAACACATCTGTTTTTTTTTTCTTTTTTTCCTGTCATACTTGTTATATTTTGAATTCTCAGAAGTGGATTTGTTTCTGTGTATCTAGAAATAATTTATTAATTTAAAGATCTGAACTTGCAGTTTGTGAGATTGTCAGTTGTCTCCTTCCTTTGTTTGCTGCCGTTCCCTGGACTACTGGAGCATAGCACCAAAACTTGTTTCCCATTCTATTTTTTTATGTTGAGAAACTCTTGACAAACAACTRCGTTATTGAGGCTTCCAGGGGCACACCCCAGTTGTCATGCTGAGCTTTCTTATCTTCCTCTGTAACTTTCCCTGGGTTTATATTTATTTATGCAGACACACATGGAGTGAGGCTTGAGGGGCCATGGTAATCTGGTCTAACTTCCAACAGAATCCAAWCAGGAATATCTTCTCCACCAGCAAGCTGCTTTCCCTTGTACGTCTGTCTCTGTAAAGTGATTTAATATTCTGTTCTTTATTCACAGAATGGGAATTGCATTGTTTGTCTTGATGTTTGCCTTAGCTTATGTTTTTTCTTCTTCATATAGATAATGACATTTCCCTTTTCAACTTTCTATGATTTTATAATTCTTCCCTCCCTAATACTTTCTTGCATGTCATGCCTGCTTGTGTGACCACTTCRSTCCTGRTTCATTCACTCAYRTCTTGTAGGTGCTGSTGTCACAGCAGCCCTCTGGTGTCARTGAGACAGCTCATTTACTGTCAGAYCTKTTGGCRTTTRTTTCAAAGCCCCAGAAAAGAAATCCATTGGTGAGCCACTCGGCTCCAGTCTGTGTCCTGCCTTCCAGCAGAACTGGCAGGAGTAGGCAGCCAGGCCTCCCTTTGCAGGGGAAAATTAAATGGTTTAGTCACTGGGAGAWGCAGTGTGATGCCAAGCAAGGGGCTCTGGTGTGGGCTCTGCAGGCTGTAYCCCTTGATCTGCTTTCCAAAATCTGAAGTTCTCAAATGCTGCCAGCTCTGCCTTTTCCAGGGAGGACATAAAGCYTGTGCAGAATGCTTGTCATGTCTCTAGTGCAGACTGCATAGTTTTCTTCCTTCCTAATTAGCCTCCTATTAGTGTGTAGTACACACACACACTCGGGTGAAGGATGTACTGGGCAGCACCTTTCACCTTCCTCACAGCTCTGTGTTGGTGTGATTGTCTTGGTTGTGCTGCACGAACCTGCAGAGGAACTGGTTGTGTCCATATCTGGTGTAAATTTGCACTGGATTCTGTAGTCAAATTCTGCGTTTAATTTCCCCAGCAGTAACCTGACCCTCCCTCAGGCTGGCTGATGTGTAACTCAGGCTGGTGACACTTGTGTCTCCTCGTTAATCAGTGTAATTGGGAAAGGCATTTCCCTAAGAGCAGAACCCTTGTCTGTCTGCTCGTGGTTCAAGTAGGGCAGTGTGTTTGAAAGTCTGGTTGTTCTGAAGTGTGTGCAATGCCTGYAGTGACACCACCATTGGTGTGCTCAGGACTTGGTGGCCATGTGGAGCCTCCATTCTCTTCCCTCTTCTCAGCTGGAGTGTGTGAGCATTCSCTCAAGAGCAGTGGGGGAGGATTTGGAACCTGCCAGCTCTTCTGTAGACAAGTAGAARTAAGGTTTTTTCATTTTTCTCTTTTGGATAGTGTGTCTGCTGCTTTCTTTAAAAGTTTCACGTAAAACCTTTTTTACGTGAGGCTGGAGGAACTTGTGTGGATGTGAACAGGTAGTTCATGATTGGCAGTCCTTTTTAGTGAGGAACAAAGGCAGGGCCTGGCAGGGTTTCCAAGATAGGAACAGTGATCCTTTTTTTTATGCTGAGAAGTGCTGGGTGCTTGCAGATTCTTGAATTCTTTTAGCAGTAAGAGAGTGGAGAGTATGGGATGAACAATACTAAAGGTCCAAAAGAATATGTATTTAGCCTTTTTTATTTTTTTTTTTTGAAGAAGGCTCTATTTCACTTCTATAGAAAGTTTTGTAAATCAGGGTCTGGGGGTAGTTCTGTCAAACAGTCTCTCAGGAACAGAGGTGTAGATATGTGTTTTCCATCTTTACACGAACTTTGCAGACCTTTCATCCTGGAACACAGTCCTGAACTGCAGGCTGCCCTATGATCTGAGAGGGGGWCTTGAAGTAATCAAGATTTTATCCTTGGTGTCAGAAAATAATGGTGAAAATGTTTAATGTTTTGAAGTGACAGAGGCCAAAATAAATGTTTTGGTTTCTTTCCCCAGTAGCTATTAAGCTAAGAGCTCCGTGCTCATGTGTAAGCAAGTCCCTGTCTTGGCATTCAGTTGTTTTCCCGTCTGAAACAACCTTGAAAAGTATTCTTTCTTTTTCTGATTCCCTCTTCAGCCTTTATCTGGCKTTTTAGTGTTGATATTGTAGATATTGYCTTCTGAAGCTGGGAATAACAACASTTSTTGGGGATATCWTTTTGGGGGTGTCCTTTGTTGATTCAGTTGAGGGTATCTTTCATTGATTCGTTATTTTGGCTCTTCCTAACTGTAATCATCTGGAGTTTGGGGAGTGAGAAGAAATGTGTAAGTTTGAAAAGCATGTGGAAAGAGTTAGGCAATTTGTTTTTAAATTAAATTCATCTTCTCATCTGTGTCCTGCTATTTCTTATAATCCACTTAATTATGGTCACAAATATATTTTTGAAGCTATACAGGAGCAATTTTTCTTCTAGTTGTGGTTTAGATTTTTGTACGGAACCAGAAACCAATAAATGAAAGTATTTTGCTTCTGAGGCTTGAGTAAAGCCTATTACAAGAGCTRCTCTTGCATGAGTGTGAGATTACTTGTTTTCTTAACAGTCCTCTGAAGCTTCTGGAGAGCTGTGAGAAAGGGAGATCTGAAAAGCTCATGCTGTGTCCACTTGAATAACTTGTTACTTTATTTGTTTTTTTTTTCCAATGGGTAAATAAGATTATTTAAGGAAGTTTATTAAAGAAAGGTTGTTATTATCTCCTGTAAAAAGAGATGTTAGTGGGGTTCCCCTGATTCAGCTCTGGAGCTCAGAGCAATCAAAGCTGCAGAGATTTTCTAAGGGGCTGTTATGAGTGTCTTTCTCTGTCACAAGTGTTTCTACTGCTGAGATTTTGTTAGAATAATGTGAATGGTCTGTGGTGCATCCACATTGTCAGATTCCAAGAAGAGTGCTCAGATATTGTACATCAGAGAAGTCATTACTTCGGTGTCAGTCAGGTTAATTAACTGTTGGTATTTGATATTTCCAATATAAAAGACTGTCTATTAGACAGTCACATTTTAAAATATTTTTTTAACTGATAAAGAACAAAGGTATTTTGTGGACAGCAAGAGACATACAAAAGCATACTTTATTCAATTTWGAGAAACATTTTAGAGTCCTGAGAGGTAGCTCCCTGTGCTGGCAAATCTGAATGCTAATCTTTTTAGCTTCTTAAGAGCTCAGCAGAAGAGTYTGACTTGAATTGGATGAAGAAATTGAGTGAATTTTCATATGTGAAAACTTTTCACTATGTTATTTTCTTTTTCAGCAGTTCAGAAATAGAGGGAAAGTTTGCCTCTAGTAAGCCTTAGGATTCTAATTGTTCTATTAAACAGTCTTTTAAATGTCTGTATTAAATATGAGAAGTATACAGGAACTTGTGGTGAAGGAGAAGTTTTAATAACAAATGCTGGACAAGATAAATATTAGTGCTGCTACTTGAGCACATCACAAATACTGGAAAATGAGTCATCTTTGTGTGCAAGAGAAATGTCTTTAAGAAGGGATTCTGGAGCACAGGGTTTTACCCTGAGCCCTTTGGGGGAGATGCTGGCAATTCCCTGTCAGGTCTGAATCTCAGGAATAGCAGTCCTGTGCTTTTTTCATAGTACCTTAATATTCTCTGCATCTCTGCAGGGATCTGGGGGAGGTTTGCAGTTGTAAAAGAAATGTTGTATTGTGAACTCAAAGGCTGGAAACTACTGTTTTTACYGTGGAGGCTGTGGAAAGTGAGAGCCAACTTGGGACAGTTATTAAAGGTCATAGTTAAATAATGATAAAACCTTTTCAAGCTCATTTTCCCTTCTTTTTTTTTTTGTTTCCTTTTCCAGGCATCAATTTTGGACTTGCATTCCGGAGCTCTTTCCATGGGGAAGCATTTTGTTAATCTGTACAGGTAAAATGTACAGGGGCTGTGGTTTCTGCCTCCTGTCATCCCACACCTTCCCCACCCTGCCTCTTCCAGTGTCTCGAGCCCCTGGGCTGGGATTAGTGAGGAGAGACTGTGCAAGTTGGTTGGATTCACCAGTTTCTATGATCAGTTAAAGAGCTCTCCTGGCATGAAAATGGATCTTTTGTTGATTTGGGCTCTTTGAAAGCTGCCATTATCTTTATTTTTGTGTTCCTGCACCAGTAAATCATAGTATTTTTTTCACAGTTATAGTCTAGTTTGTCAACAGTGGAAGAAATTAAATAGCCTGAACCCTTAAAAACTTGAATCCATGTGCTTATTTCATGATGTGGGAGGGGATTTTTTTAATGCCTGAGGAATTCCATTACCCATTGCAGCATTTCAATCCTTTAATCTTTTACCATTTGATCTTTTTAGCATTGCTTTTGGACTTCATGCTCAAAAGCATTTGTYGGATTTTTTGTGTTGTGTTCTCACWTTTTTTGGTGGGTAAAGCACGGGTGGAGGTGAGAAGGCATTTTCTTAGTCTGTTGCTTAGTCTGATTCATCAATTCCTCTTTTAGACTGTTGTTTCATTTTTCAGGTACTTTGGGGACAGAATTCAAGACATCTTCACAGAAGAAGATTTTGCATTATACCGGTAAAGATWTTCAGTGACTGCTGAATGAATCACAAACCAGAACTTTCATGTTTTTTAGTTTTTTTGTAGAGTGCAGGTTGGGAGGGGATTACACTTTGCATTCATACACTGGATTTTGCAGCTCACAATAATAATCTCTGAGAGCTAAGATGACTTGAAGAGAAGTAAAAGGACCTTTTGGTGACAGATGAACAATATCAGCTGCTTTGAGCTGCATCAGCCACATCAGGACAGTTTTACAGTGTGAAATACTCAGGATGCTGCAGCACCACCCATTTCCCTTCCTGCCCTGCCAGCAAAGAGAGTTGCTCCTTGGAGCTCTGGGGGGATCTGCTGGAACATGAGAGCTGGGATGGAAAACCCTTCATCATTACCTCCTTTCTCACACATTATCCAAAAGGGATTGTGTGAGATGATAGAGACAATTCTGTGCTGTTACTGCATCAGGAACTTGGGTTTTTTTTTGAGGCAGAGTGTTGCAAACATTAAAAATGGTAAAGCAGGAAGGGAAGGACTTCAGATTGCTCATGTTCTGGCTGGAGAAGCAGCCAGAGGATGAAATAGCCCTGTAATGAAACAGCTCTGGCATCTGATGCTCTCAGCGTTCCTGCAGCCCTGCTTGTCCACTTAACAAACACAACAAACCTAACGASTTCCATGTGTCACTGAAGGTGTGTGGCCAAAGTTTAGGAATGAGAATTCTTTGTTGACTAGACACAATAATTCTTTAGTTATGCATTTCAGTTGGTTTCTCATAATTTAAAATGTTCCTGGTTTGAACATTTTAACTCTTTTGCTTTTTTCCTTGCCTGCGTGAAGGAATCTGACCTCCCTCTAGTGGTGGAAGGAGAGTTAAGTAGCCAAATAGGTTTATTAGTTTTATTAAAATAAAAATTAATTAATATAATCCTTAAATATTAATCACTTCAGGCTCATTTCTATTCAACAATTGTTTCTAGATATCATTATCTTTATAAATGAATTTTAAAGTGTTTTTACTTCTGATCCCAAAATTGCAAAAATTAGATGATTCCTTGGTAGTTATTTAACTTTGCATAAAGAAAATGCATAATTTCTGTTTAACATGAACAGAAGCATTCAATTTTTCAATAATTTTATAAATTTRTGCTGTGAGATGAGACAGCTGCTAGGGAATGTCAATATTCCATTGGGATTTCATGCCAGTACAGGGGATGTTTCAGTGAAGTGAAGTGCTGGATGTGAAACTAATACAAAATATATTGTTAAATGCTTCTGTTCATATTAATGGCAGTGCTTTAACATAGATTGTAGTACTTTATGGCCTTAACAAATGATTTGATGCTATTCTTGGGAGCATTTATCTTCATTACTTTCCCTTACCTAACAAGGTCATTTTAAAAATACACTCTTGAGAAAAATAACTGAATGTAATTCATGTCTTAGTATTACTGATTGCAACAATAACGAATATGAGTAGGCTTCCTGAGCCAGAAGGCTGATTGCTTAACTGTCTCTATCAAAATTTGGTTGCTTCAGAACCAATTTGGTTTCTAGGCTGATACTTTTACCACCATCTGCCAAGCACATGACAGCAGTCCCTTYTGTTTCACCTAATAAATGAAACGTTTCATTCAGAAGAGAGTGCTTTAATCTGGATTGGTGTAAGGGGTGGCTTGAGCAGAAAGCACAATCAAAGATTTATTCCCAAAACCTTAAAGCTTATTAAGGCAGAGACAGAAGGAGCAGAGGAAGAGCTGTTAGTTTGTCTAGTTCTGTGTCTGTTCTTTGTGTGATTGCTGTTAAAGCTCTCTGGCTGCAGGAGACCTTTGCTTTGTCAGCTCAGGTTGCCTCTGGGCAGCTCCCTGGGGCAGTGCTGACAAGTGGGATAATTGGGAAGTTGTGTGGGATTGAGATTTGMGTGTTCCTGTCACTGTCCTTGAATCACTCTTTGCAGTGGCTCCAAACTGGGGTTTTTTTTTTKGKTTTTTTTTTGGTCTGKAAGAGCCTGTATCTCACAGAAACTTTTCCATGGTACATTTAGCTCTCTGTGCTGCTGCTGATACATTAAGCTGGCAGCTTGGCAAACCAGTGAGTTCCTTTCTCTCAAATTGTGTGTTTCTTGGATTTCCAGTTACTTCTTTGGCTTTTAAATTTTTTTTTCCTTATCACCCTTAACTCCAGCACAGGTTTCAGTACCTGTTTTTACAGAATCTGGTGCTCTGTTCTTCCTTTCCCTGAGTCTTGCCTGAGCATTTGATATTCTCCAGTGTCTCAGTGCAAATGGACAAGAACTGCTGCTGACAGATGTGGGGGGAGGATTAATTTGATCCTGATGCTCTTGAGTGGATATTGTACTTGGGTATTTATTGCCACTGCAGAACTCTGTTAGTGCATCTGCACAGAGCCAGGGTGCACCTCAGCACTTTGAGAGAGGCAAGAGTGGCTGTGCATATGAAAACAAATGGTTAYGTTCTCCAGCATAAAGAGGGATTTTCTTGGTAGCCATAGTACACCAGAACYCTCCCAACTGTCCCAAGAGCCAGAGAGCCAGGATCAGTGAGGGAAGGGTGGCTCCTGCTGCCTTAGACCCTGGGTCATAGAGAAGTGGCTGAGAGAATAATGTGGCTCTCCCAGTTTTGGGTTCATTTATTCCTTTCTTGACAGCACCTTCTAAGGTGGAATTTGGTTTMTCTTGTCACTTGATGTATGTGTGAAGTACAGTGTATTTGTCCCTAAGTGTGGGCTCAGTAGGCTGTGTTTGGAGCAGCAGGGAACAGAATGGAATGAAAAACTTGCAGTYATGATATTGATAAATGTTGAAATGGCCTGGACAGCAGAAAACAGCTGTACAGAAGAATTTTTCTAGGCTATAAAATGACCTTAATCTACTTTTCAAACCAGCTGCATGCTGTGTTTGGCACATTGAGTAGGGCTTTGCATCCTGTTTGGTTTGTAAAACACRTTCTGCCCAAAGCCATGGCGTGTAAATCTCAAAAGAGGAGTGAAGATTAACAGAGCCTTATAAACACCAGACAGCAGGTCTTAACAGAAAGCTTTGAAAAGTGGGAAATGAATCAGGCTGAAAGAAGAGGGAGGATTCCTTACAGAGCAGGACGGCTGCTGGAGACTTTATTTCAGGACTGTGACCTGACTATTCCAGCTGGCTGATGCCACAGCCAGCAAATCAACTGCTTTGGTGTTTGTGGCTGGGAATTCTTGAGTTGGGCTGTTCAAAGTGCTACCTGCTCTCAATTCACAAAATGAGTAATTGCATCTGATACTTCCTGGGAACCATAAGGCAGCCTTTCCTGCAGCCCTACTCCTTGGAAGAAGCAGACAGAAAGATCATCCTCCCACAGCCTGAGAGGAAGGATCTGTAGGTTATTTCCTGGTGTCAGTCTTTCAAACTCTGCTGCTGTGTAGCTCTCAACTTGAAACTTCAGCTGATGCAGCCATGAAAATCCCTCTAACTTCATTCCATGCTTTTAATATTTCATATGTAAAATAGCTTGAATTGACCCCTAAAAATGTAAAGTGAGACAGGTTAAAAAATCAAATCTGTGTATTCTGTTTCTCATGAGGGGCTAGATTTGAACAGAAGGAATATTTTGAGTTTTTTAGTACTTACAGATTTAAAGAGATAACTTTCACAGCCTGTAGGCTGTGGGCACATGCCACAGGTCTTGTTTTAGTTCTGTCACTTCTTTTTAGCCACCATTTACGTTYCCTAAAGAAGTACCTGGGAAAAACCTTCTTGAAAGTTATGCTGAGGTTCAGTGCTATCCARTGGAAAAATGTAATGGAAGATAGAAAAATACTAATGTAATTCCATGCACAACTTCAGAAATGTGTTTTCTGATTATCTTTGTAGACTGCTTTTCAGCGTTTAGGAAGAAAGAAAAGGAAAACTGATGCAATAACTGAATTAATTCACGCAAGTGTTAAGATGGGAGGAAACAATATAAAGGCTTTAAGAAGCATAGGGGAGTAAATCTTAAACTCCAGTGTTTTCATTTCATCTCATTGTGTTACTGCATTCTTTGCTGGTTGTTAAATTTCCTCAAAGTAGAGTACTGGCTGCATGTGTTTACTGGTGGGATTTGCCAGTGGKATTACTCATTAATCACAAATCTCCTGTCTTTAAAAAAAGTGCTGTGGGCTAAACTAAGGGTGGCAGTTGTGGATGGCCCTGTCCTGGCAGATGGATGCTGCCGTATAAGCTGCTCTGTATAGCAACATGTGTGATTATTAGTTTTCTATTATGATAATCTTAACCTGAAATAAGATGAAAGCCCTGTTYTATTCTTCCTTGTCTCCCAAGAAACACAAGAATAGGAAGAAGGAAGAGATAGTTTTTCTGAATCTTTGAACACAATTGTGAAAGACATCTTGCATTAATTAAAAAAAAATCTGGTAATAATACCAATACATATGTTGATCAAGAACCCTGAGTTTCTTGGTGCCAGGGACYTCATCAGTTGGTTTAAAAGTAGCTGAAGGTTGTTCAGAGGCAACCCTTCTATGAAGGTACAACTGTAGTGTAATCTGCTTGGGAATAAAAATATCTGTGTGAAAGTCTTCAATGTTTTCAGCACTTAACAAACAATGGGACAGGTGTGGAATTTTTCAGGAAAACAGAAATTTTAAAACCTAGACCACAGGAGACATAGTTTCTTTTCCCTGATATTCTGACAATTTAAAAAAAAACCCAAAGCAACAAACCCCAACCAAAACCATGGTGGGGGTCTCTTTATTTATTTCTTTATTTAAATGGAGTAGATCTCTGTTTAAGGCAAAATAAGAGAGAAAGGCTGGGTGTGTGTTGGCCCTGATTTCTCAGCTGAGGAAGGAGCAATAAGTGAGTGAAGATCCCAGAAGCAGCAGGAGAGGTGTCCCTGCCTGAGCCCTGTGTGCTGTGTGTTCTCTGCAGGGATGTSAGACAGAGGATTCAGCAAAGGATTGCTCAGGTGTTTGGGATCAGCTCCTCTGCCATGTACCTGACCAAGCCAACMTTCTTCTCCAGGATGAACAGCACAGAAGCCAAGACAACCCAYGATGAGTACTGGCACCCACACGTTGACAAGGTGAGGAGCAGGCTGAGAGGGGTGCAAACATCTCCTGTTGTTGTTAGATCACCTTGAAATCATTTTGCATTAAACAATCCATCAAACAGGTTTGCAAACTGGTGCTTCAGGGGATGAACYTAATGGGAGATAAGTGAGTTTTAGAAACATAGGCTGTTAGATCCCATTTAATTTTATTTTCTCTAATTTAGTTTTGCTAGAATTAATAAATTGTGAGAATGAGTATTTGGGAATCTCTTTTGTCAGCAATATTGATTGAAATTACCTGAACTGCCCTTTTAGCAAGGTCTAACAGGAGCTGTTTYACAGTGCTCAGTTGGTCATTGTTATTGAGCTGAGCCTTTTGATAAAGGGTTAATATTTATATTTCAGCTATATGTGAATTGAGGGGTTTTTACTGCATGTGTTTCAGCGGGGATGTGGTACCTGGTACCCTCTTTCAATAACTTGGTGTTTTGGTCTTTCTAGAAGGGAAGTATTCTTTTAACTGCACAGTCTTACAGCTTGATAGCTTTATAGCTTAATACTTTGCATTTCTCAATGGACTCAAATGATTTGGTGTTGATTTTATTTCTGAATGTCACTGAGGTAAAAGTTTCTGTGCAGTACAGCAGAATGCAAATCATGGAAGAATCAAAAAACCCCACAACACAAAAAAAACCCTCTCCACAATACCCACATTCCATTCAGGATTTATAAATGAGTCGCTCTGTAGTCATGGATTACCCAAGATGGTACCAAATAAAATAATCCCATCAAAATCCAAATTATTTTTCAGGGCAAGAGTCTGTAAGTAGGCAGTGTACCTTGAAGTCTGTGACCTGAGACATGGAAAAATCARAAATATTCCTTGCCTCAAAGTATTTCCTGTAAAATAGGGAAATATTTCCTGAGGGAAATGTAATATCTTTTGTTGATCACAACATTGGTGTGACTTCCTGTGTCCTTGTCATTTGTGCAGAAGCAGCTTAAATTTAGAAAACGTGGTGATAGTGATGACACAGCTTATGTTTGAAAGTAGAAGGTGCTGTGTGGTGGAATCTGCCAGGTTTTGGATGCCTCTGGTTTGAAAAGCTGTGGTGTAACCAGTGAACAGGATGGCTCTAGACCAGAGGTGATGGGGATGATTTCAAGGTCCAGATTATTTTAATTTGTGTTGGTAGAAAGTGGCTGTGGGGAGCAAATTGTGCTGGTCAGATTCACAGAGATTCCATCATGTTRTGCTCCTTTCCAGGAGACCCTTGGGAAAAAGTGAACTGGTGATTCTGGTTGTGTGAAGTGCAGTGAATTCATTGGTTCCTTATAGTTTTTCCACAGTTTTAGAGAATCAGATTTGACTGCCACAAGGCTGGGAAAAGCAGTATGTTTTGACAACTGATGCCTATATTTACCACTCTCTTATTTAAGCCCCAAAAAGCATATTTTAGAATTTCAGATTCTGATTTATTACTATAWTGAGATCTGTGCACAAACACTGCTCACCAATGTTCCCTTTATCCTTTTCTGAATGTGTTTTGCATTGGGAAATGAGTAAGGTGGTTACACAATTAAGTGTTTCCACCTAAATATCTCCTATAATGTATGAAGTAGTTTGTCATTTAAATGCAAATAGGTTTCCATGAAGAGAATTTGTGGAAGCTGCTTTTCTGTCCTGTCATCCTTAGAGTGCCTRAACATGATGGACAGCAAGCAGGCTGAATGTTTTCCTGATTTTTATCTTTTTCTTTTCCCATGTTTTATTTATCTTGCAGGCTGTCTGTTCAGGGAACAGATACATCAATTAATTTGCTTTTTCTAACCCATCTCCAGCTTCCAAAAACAAAACAAGCAGAAAATGTACTCTCTTAAATTTRTAATGCATAAGCTAGACCTCTGGAGTGTCTATGCTGAATAATTGGGTTGTCTGATTTATGACAGTAAATGGACTTGGTGATCTTGGAGGTCATTCACGCAACTTAAACAATTCTGAGTCTGAGATAATTCTGAGAATTATCCCAGTTAGGGGCAGTTACCAAACACCTTGTTCATAATCCCAAGTAGTTTGAGCAGARATTAAATAGGATGGAGGAGTTCAGCTTCACAGGTTGCTGTCAGTGCAGTCAGCCTCGCTTCTATTTCGCTTTTTCCAACAAACGGTTCCACTTACCACTTGCAGACCAGAGCTGAAAGCAAGGTAAAAAGATACAAAGCTATTGATCTGAGGCAGGAAGTGCTTCCCATAAAAGAGCACCAGTGTTCTTTTGTGGCCTTCAAAGTGTGAGTACTGGGAAGTTGAAAGAAGATCGACAAAACTTGCCAGTTTGTTGGGTTCTTTTGTGTTGTATCATTATTTATGCTTTCCCCTTGGAATAGAACACGTCACTTTGGGTATTTCTGCATAATTTAACAGTGAATGTTRCTCCTAGGAGACATTAGGATTTTTTCCTTGCCTGTTTTCAAAAGAAAGGTAAAATGAAGCCTTTGAAAAAGGAGTTCACTATATTTTCTGTTTCACAGTGAAAAGATGTGCCTTTTTGGARCACATAAATACTCTTCTTGCTTTTTTCCTGATGTTGCTGAGTCTACTGTGATTATATTTCTCAATCTGAATCTCCTTGAAGATTTTTARCTGCATAATGGAGTAGTACAGATTTATTGTTTCTGAGGCTTTGGTTTTTTTCCCCTAGAATTTATTTGGTTTTGTAGTTACATAGGAATTGAAACCCTGAAATCACCTGAATGACTCATTTAATCTTGTTGAATTTATAAGCATCTAAATCAAATAAAGAGAGTATTGGTTTAAGATGTGGAGTTTCATCTTGGATGGAATATATTTGGAACTGAGGCTTCCAAATGTCAAATATCAGATTGATAGTGGAGTTGCTGTTGCACACGTGTCACTGTCAGCAGTACAGTCTCACAGTTTTCTCCAATAGAAGAAGTGTGACACTTGGAGTTTTGTGCAGTCTCCTGCCTGGGCAAGGATCCTGTCATCCTTCACAGAATTGTCTGGCTCTGCTGTAAGATGGTTTGGGGTTTGTTTTCCTTGAATTTCTATCAGAGCTATTCCAGCAYTTCAGTGCACATTCTCCCAAAATTGGTTGTGGTTTTTTTAGCCTAAACATGTCCATGATCAGTTTATAGCTATTTTTCYCCTCCTCTCAGTTCTTTCTCCTCTCATCTCCATGTATTTGTAGATAGGAATCATATCCCTTTTCAGCCTTTGTTTCTCTGAGCTGAACAAGCCAAACCTTGAAGTTTCCTTTCCTGCAATGTGCTCTCCATGTCCCCAGCCCTTCCCTGGATCTTCAGCCCTCTCTGGCTCTTGAGTCTGTCACTGAATCTGCTGCTGTTTCTTCTAGCAGACTCTTTTCCCCTCAAGMTGTCACACATTTAATTACATCAAAAGTTCCTATTTCTGCCCTGGGACAGCATCATCTTTGGAAATTGAGGAGGTTGATTCTTATGTCTGCTCAAACCCATCACCTCAGCTCTCCTTTGTAATTCAGAGATGTGCTGTTTCCTCTTACACTGTCTGCTAAATAGATACTGCCAATGAATGGAACACTGGAAGGGGCTATCAAGGCTATTTTTGTGATTATCTACACAGAGGTTAGGTGAAGGCTTGCAGGAAGAGAGCAGTGTTGACTTTTTTTTCTGCATGCTGGACCAATGCTGATTGGAAAGTGAATTTTCTTCTGCACTGGAAGGCAGAGGATGCCATCCTAAATATCCACAGTAACTGCAGATCTCTTGCATGGTCCTACAGCTGTTCAGTTGCATATAAATGAGTCCCTCTAAAAAACCCACTGCACAATGTGSCTGGCTAATTCTGACAATTAGTTCYTTTTGTAATAATAGTCTTTAAAGGAGTGTCATCTAAACATCAGTATCAGCATCTACCATTAAATATTATCTGTGTTTGATTTTTTGGATAAAGAGTGTTCAGAAAAAGCACATTATCCGTAAGACATACCAGGCTGAATGAAAATATCTGCATTTTTTTCTCTTGAGTTGTTTACAAGGAACTGTAGAAATTTGATTTGCAGCTGTGTGGCTGCATRGTTTATCACCTGCTGTTAATGACAGCTTTTCTCACACAGTTTGAACGTCTGGTTCAATTATTAACCTCTCTGATACTGGAAATCATTACCAGGGTAACAAATACGTTTGATATAYATGGGGGGACTTGCAGCATTTTAAATGAGTGAGTATAATTTAATGCCTCCTTTCCATAGTGTTGCATTTCTCAGGCCTGACCACTTCTGAGAGTGACTAATGAATAAGGATAGGAACAGAAAAGCCATTTTCCCTTGCATACCTAATTCCCCAATTTAGTCATCTATAGAAATCAGATGTGTTTGGTTAGGCTAAAATGGTTTGTAGTCAGCTCTTAAAAGTTTAGAATTGATAGAGCCTCATTGGAGAGAAGGGAGAGTGCACTGAGGGAGGAAATATTGCTGCTCCACTGAAGAGTTGATAAAAACAGTTTTAATGCATTAAACTTGCAAGTATGAGTTGAATGAACTTCTTCACATGCCTTCACTGGCTGGAGACTTCCTTAAATTGATTGGAAGTTTTATCACCAAATTAAGGAAGTGGAAGATAGCTCTGCAAAGCTGATTTGCATGAGAAGGGCTGTAGAATGGCTGGTTGGGGGTACTGCACTAGCACTTGCTCAATAATTCCCATTTATGGCCTTGTRTTGCAACCAAGGTCTGGGAAAGTATGGAGAGAAGGGGAACCCTGTAATATTTCTCTCATTTTTGTGATTCAGACTGTGTAGGGCAGCAYAGCACCAGATTTGGCTTTTTTCCTTTAAGCCCTTATGTTCAAAATAATAGCATGAGTATGAATGAAAATGTCTTTCTATTCCATCTGCTGTTCTGTTCTCTTTGGTCACTRCCCTTACAAAAAAAATGTGTGCAATTGCTCTTGAGCCAAAATTTAACTGGCATTAATGAGGATAACTTGAAACATAACTGAAAATATTTAGAAAACTTYTAAGTTTGGAAGTAGCACCTACCTCTAACAGTCACCAGGTCAGTCAAAACACCCTGCAAATCCTGGTTATTTATACAGTAGTACTGTGCTGCACGTTTCACTGTTTGACAGTGTAATGCTGAACTTCTGAGTTGTGATACACAAAGAAATTGGAGAATACAGACATGGATTTCAAGTATTTTTTTAGTTGCTGGTGAGATGTAGATATGAAAGGGAATATTGCCAGAATCAGCTAAGCTTAATATGAAATATTTAGACTGCTTCTCTCTGAGTATTAGCCCATAGTGTTTCTTCAACTTCAGTGTTGCATATCAACCAAAAATAACGCTTTAAAAGGAGGGAAAAATCAYCTTGTTATACTTAAAAGTGGGGTGTTTGGTCTGTAGGGTGAGAACAAGCAGAGACTTAGTCACATATGAAGGGTTTTAAACAAAATATGTATGAAAAAAGAGTAGAAGCTCCTCCTGCAAATGTGTGTTTACTTGGAAATTTTCATTTACTGTCATTGTGAATCTCCTGTGTGGTAGCTGGTGAAGGAGTAGGAAATAAGGCATCCAGAAATCTTATAACCAAAGTTAGGTCATGGGTGAAAATATTAGTCAAGGGCTATTCTTCTGCTTGTTAAMCTTCTGGTGAAATTTTATCTTGGAATCAATCCTGTCTTTGATAGTGTCAGCAGTGCATTGTATGTTGTTTTTTGCTCTTGGATGATAGAAATCAATGGGACCACTTCTCTGATTAAGGAAACAGTAACAATAGAAATAATAAACATATGCTGGTCTTGTAGTGTGTGTGTAAACACAATAGATTAATAAACACATATAATTTCTAGAAAATAGTGTTCTTGGTTTTTAAAGACCCCTTTATTAAATGCATGAAAAATTGAAAATTAGGAAAACCTACCAGATCTATCTGCTTAATTAGCTATGCTCTGCAGAAATTAGATAAAGAATTTGCTAATTTCTGGTCATTTTGGCTTCCCCTATAGGTAACTTATGGCTCTTTTGACTACACTTCTCTGCTGTATCTCTCTGACTACAGCGAAGATTTCGGGGGTGGACGGTTCTTGTTCATGGATGCAGATTCCAACAAGACAGTGGAGCCCCGAGCAGGTACGAGCCCAGCTTTGCTGCAGAGAGCTGGGCAAGTTGTGCCTTTTATTGTCTGGGTGGGCTGGCAGGTGCTGTGGGATTGTTTTGTGTCAGTAGGAATAACATGGGATAATGTAGCATTCTGCGTTCATATTGATGACATAAAAAGATTAAAATAGGTTAAAATATACCCACATTGTAATATCTGGTGTTGCCACAATCAGTGACTTCCTTGAAAGCTATAGAACAGTGGCCAGTTCTGACAACTTAGCAGGTCACTGTGCAGCCAGAGCAGAGCTAACTCTGACTGCAGCAAATCCAAATTAAAGCAGTTTATTTTAGACTGCCTGAAATTCCTTTGCTACTCAAGGTGGGGTTTAATGCCCTGTAATGGCCGAGGGCTGGGTGTGAAGATGAGTGATTGCCACAGCTCTGCTGACCTGCTGGAATGTGATGARCAGTGATTTCCTAGGTGTAAGTCTGACCCTGCTCCCAGGAGGTCTGACAGGGATGAATCTTCTGATGGTTGTCAGGTATAAATAAAAAGCCTTTGAGGCTGGTTTGACTTCTTCTAATATGTGGATAATTTGAAACTAGAATTACTCTGGGGCTGCCTAGAGAGGAGCTCAGCCTCAGCTCATCTGTCTGGCAGGTGAATGCTGAGCTTCCAGCATTGTTACCTCCCATAATGCAAGATTAGCTGTGCTTCTGCAGGAGAAAAAAAAAAAGGACAACTTTATATTCGTACTGTGTTCTGTCTTTTTATTTTCAAGACAGAAAAGATGGAAATTTACTCATTTAAAGAGTCTCAGTAATTGTCTGCTGGCAGGTGTTACCCCAAGCAAAACTGACTTTGGACTMSTGCTGCCTGCAAAGTGGATGGGTKTTTTTTGACTTATGGCTCATAGTGATCCCCTCATCCACTCATCTGCAGTGATGGTGGTTTAGATAAACTCTGAGACTACCTGCACTCTGGGTTTGCTATCAAGAACTGGATGTTTGATTATTTTGGCTTTTACTATTGGAAATAAACCCTAAACTGAAAGCATCATCTTTTGCAAAATGCTGCTGCCAATATTTTGAAAGGTAACACATTAAACTATTTCGTTTCTAGATGCAATTCTAAGATTACCAGGTCTTTATAGCTGTAGAAATCATAGCTGAATTGTAGTTAGGTGAGGAGAGCTGTCTCCTCAGTGCAGGGGCACTCAGCCTGGCTGTAGTGTGCATCATGCCCCTGACTTAATTTCCAAAAGTCTGTAACTGTGAAATTGTTTCCATTCAGCCCCATCAGTTAATTTTCAGGGTTTCTGCTGCAAGGTCTTTGATCTTGATGGCTTTTTGGGGGAAGAAAAGGAAGCTGATGAAGTACTGAATATTTTTTTCTAACAGAATGACCTGGGGGTGTTTTCTGTTGCTGGTACAAGCTGATGCATTTTTCATGTTCAGAATGTTCCTCTGCAGTGTTTTTTTTTCTTTCCTTCTGTCTTTTTGGCTTTTGTTTGTTTATTTTGTTTCACTCTTCTTTTGATCCTTTGTGTTTCTCGTCACTCCAACTCAATTTTTAAAACCATGTGTTGATAAGCTTTCATGCTTCTCATCTAGCAGATCCAGGCTTTTTTAGTGATGGCTGTCATAATCACTGCTCAGTTTTAGTGTTTGACAGCTGTTTCACCTTCTCTGTATTGCTAATGCCACTGCAGTCCTAAAACCTGGCACTTGGGTGGTCCCACATTTAGCCTGCATTTTGCTGTGTGCCAAAATGAGCAGGGTTCTTTTTCTGTGAGCAGCAGTTTGTTCAGGTGTCAGTGGGAAACAAAAAGRCATTGTTAGTGATGCAGCAGAGCAGAAAAGCAGTAATTGGAAATAAAAGGAAAAGCAATTAAAAATAAAGCATTGTAGGATGTCCTGTGTTTGAAAGTGCTGCCTGGGTGAGTCCCACTGCTGCTAAAGATGTGTTTGCAGCACTTTATGGTGAGGATCAGTGTCAGCCAGGCTGCTGGGCACAGGGAGAGCTGTTCTGCTGGGAGTGGAGCCTAAAGTCCCGTGCTTATCACTCCCTCAGTGTATATCACTTGTGGATTACTTAAGAAGTTTGTAAATCCTGGCTCTCACATATTTGAGTGAAAGACTGTCTGATTTGTAGGATGGTCTTTAACATCCCCTGGTTTGGTTGTTAGCAAACATTAGCTTTAAGRAGGAATAACAATTTATTAACCTTGAGGCTCTAGAGATTATTTCWTTTTTAACAGAAATGAACAAGTCAGCATCAGTTCAAATGTACAGATCTTTGGCTAATTTATAACTGAATATGGCACAAAGGAACACATCTTTCTTGTGCCCTGATGGGTTTCAGAAGTATATATGTGCCTTTTGACTTCAGTCAGGATGTCTGTAAGCTGCAAGAAACTCACTGTACCATGAGGAAGAGAATTCTTTGTGCCAAGGGAAATAACACTTTGAAAAGAAAGCTTTTTTTTTGTGACAAACAGATCTAAAGCARTATCTGTTCCTTTTAAATATATGGMAATTCTGTTTCCAAATTTGTCGTACTGGGATCGTTTTCCACCCTCTGCACCATGGTTGGCTGTGTTTGAGAGATTGCAAGAAAAAGAGCAACATTTTGAATTAGGTTCTTCAAAATGAAACCCTTTCAACATTAACTCTTTTTGCTGGTCCAAGACATGTTTTAGTAATCTACAACAGATACAGGAGGATTAAGAATAAATGGCAGACATCAAGGCACTCCTTTCTCRGTCACAAAATTGGTATATTTTCTGCCGCTGCTAAATTTGTCTGTGGTTAAAGTTTCATGTTTTAAAATTTCATATTTAAGGTTTCACAGTTTTGCAGAGCCTTGTGTGACCTTGGTGTCTGTCAATATTAGACAGGTCACAGACTTCACTTGATCATAAAGTGTAGATGAAACTCTGCTGTTAGAATGAAATCTCAGTACTGGTCCAGTGTTCCTTATTTGCATGTTCATTTTTTGGTTTGAAGGTCAGCTTTGCTGCATTTATTTTCAACTTGCAAGGGAATTTRTTCTTCACACAAGTCATTTATTATACAAAGGTAGAAGGAAAAGTCACAATCACTTCTGTGTGTTTCTGGAAGAAAATAATCAGTGGGGCAAAATGAATTCTGTACATTGGACAGTGAAATGTGACTCTTCCTTTAATATCAAACTTGTCATACTCACAGCTCTCAGAATTGTGTGTTTCTGAAAGTGTAAAATATTTGATTTGGAGGTATAAGATATTTGAGAACTTKGATTATTCTCCATTTAGGATGGAAAACAGGGTATGCTCAAAGCCTGAGCCATCAGCTTTTCTGCTCAAGTAGGGAAAATCAGACATTTTAGGATGCACAGGAGGCTTTCTCATTGTGCAGGAATGGCCCTCAGGGGTCTGTGGGCACATTCACTGYGATGARTGTRGCTTTATGGTTCAATATCACCTGASTCTCWCTCCTGTARTCATGAGAATTGGTGCAGTATTCCAAGCTAAGTGATAGGAATCTGATCTATTCTTATGGGCTGTTTAAAGGAACAGGTTGGAAGAATTCACTACTAAAAGCTGAGGAAATGCAGCATAGTGACAGAAAGTGCAGTGACATGAAAAGTAAGATTTCCAAGTTCAAGAGTCCCACAGCAGCATTAACAAAAGGTGGGAAAAATGTGTTTAAAGGACATATTTAGTAATCTTGTATCCTGGAATAGTGGATATTCCCCCTCTCCCCCCATGGAGATAGCCTCATCTTTCTCTGTRTTCAATCCACATCATCCAGATTCAGTCTAGATCGTGATAATCATCTGCCAATCCTAGCTCCAGTTTTGCTCCAATCAGTAAAACTGGAGCACATCTTGAAGTTAAATCAGGATCAGCTGAAAGATGAGAATAATTTTTTTAAAAATCCACAGAAGAAGCTCAGTCGTGGTGAATGGAGGCAGCATTATCAACTGCAGTACAAACCAGCCATGGGGAGGACAGCAATTCTTAACTGTCCTGCAAAACTCATCACAAGCTGTGCCAGGGTCTGCTGAGGTGATTGCAAASAGAAGTGGTGGGAAAAGGGGGACCTGTTGCAGTCATTTAAAAAACACATAGAAAATAGCKTCTTCTTTCTCTGTGGAAATTGCTTTTTGTTTTGTTATAGGTGGAAGAATATCTGTCTTCCAGGCAGGTTTTGTGTTCTAATGGTGTTTGGTGATAGATTAATGATGGTGTTAAATAAAACACTGTTTTAATTGGGCCCATAAAACAATAGGTACCTGGAGTGCAGGTCAGACCTGCACCTAACATGGTATTTCTGTAAGTTAGTTCTGATAAATTCACTGCCTTGTTGAGGTAGCTGTTACTGAGAGTAGCAGTGGTCACCTCACACTGCCTGGAACACTGAAAGGATTCAGGAATGCTGGGGRAAGAGGGGAGCTGTGTTGTGTTGGAGTATTCCAGGGAGCATTGTGAAGCACTGTCAGTGCTGAGAATTGGCCTCTAAGGCTTTCCCCTGGCCTGAGAGACTTGGTTATAAATAACCACGTGTAGCATGTCCTGTTTGTGCTGCTCACTGCTGCATGCACARGACTTTCTGTAATGCATGTGCAGGCCAATATTTCCTGAGTTTGAGTTGAAACTGCTCAATGTGCAGCAAGGATGAAGGCAGCAGTGKAGAGTCAGCTTCCATGAGTTATTAYCTCATGAAATTCAGGTAATATAACAGATGAAGTTAAAAAAAATACAGTAACTGCAGGTTCAGCTGTGTGGTTCAGTAGGGAGAGTTAAATTCTTGGCTTCTAAGCTGTGTGAGTGTGAATGTCACATGCTCTGATGAAGCCCCTTTGTTTAAAGGCCATTTACTGAATAAGTGAGCAGCAGARGTTGCCCTTGTGCTTGTGCTTCAGTGATTTACTAAATGTGAGGATCAATTCCTTCTCTATCAGAAGCCCAAAACCCAGAACTTGGGCRTCCATGTGATTGGACCATGGGTCTACTGGTCATGCCATGTTTGGCAAGGTCAGGAAGAATCAAATAGATGATCCTGAGGTTGTTTGATGTGATTGAAGTTGCAACACTTCATTCTCAGTGAGAACTTTCTGTAGAAGTCCAATTTTGAGCCCTTGTGCAGCTGCTGTGAGGAGGAGAGCAGAGCAGACCTGGCAGTGCTGGTTGGGTGAGGCTGAGGACTGGAGGGGAGATCTGGCAGGCAGAGCTGGGAAATGTCCCTGTCCTTCTCTGTAGGGAGAAGAGAGGGAGCCAGAAGGCCTTGGGGAGACTCATAAGTGATGTGGAGAGAACAGTTATGCAGTTTTCACTTCTGAATACTCCCCAGGATTGTCACACCTTCAGACAGAGTGGAAACTGCTGTGATTTTGAGCAAGCAGCTGTGCTGGTGGGAGAGAAGCAGGCAGGGATTCTGTTGATGTCTAAAAATATTCATGTACTTTTAGCAGGAAATGAGTAAGTTCATTCATTTTCTTTAAAAAGTGTAATTTGGGATTTTTCCAGGCCCTTCTGAATTTACAGTGAAAGCAACTACTGTTTTGAGAGTATTGTTAATACTACAAATTACAAGCTGGCTGTGGGAGACTTCACTTTGTAAATCAGTGATTTTATTTATAACAGCAAGTAATTTCTGTCTGGTAACTAAATTTGGGACAAGTTTGTAACTAGGCCTTGACACTCATTGCAGGTAGGTTTTTTTTTTGCTTGGGGTTTTATTTTTAGGCTATGGGTTTTTTTATTCTTCTGTGCTTGACATGTATGTAGCAAAATTGTTCAGAGAAGCTTGCGCCCTCTCTTCTGGGGTGCTCTCTTCACCCCAGACCAGGACACTTGCAGATACTGTCATTCCACATTCCTTTTGTGGGGTTTGCTGAAAGGACTTGCTTAAATTCTCCCCATTCAATATTTTTTTATAAGTAATTGAATATCTGTTAAGTTTCATTGTGTGATCACAGAAAACATTATTATCAGTTTATTTGCCTAATGATAKGATGGATTTTCTTGGACAGTCTACATGAGAATGAATTTGTGATTAATCCTAAACAGATGACAAGGATGAGAACACAACTGCTGTGCAGTTTCTCTGGCAGTGCTTCTGTCTGGGTGYCATTCAGCAGATGAGATGCAGCTTTTCCTTCTTTCCTGAGTAACATTCAGAGCTGATAAATGTTAGGCAGGCAGTCGAAGCTGTCAGTGCATGAGATGAAAGATATTGAATAGATCTCTGGTGCCAAATAAACTGTTCCTGCTTCCCTTTAAGTGGACAGAGAGTGGCTTCATTTTCTCCTGAGCAGAAGCCATGGACAGGGGGTGGTGATGAAACCCTTTCCATTGCCAGCCTTTGCATCCCTGCCCTGGTGTCAGCACCCAGGGAGGAGATGAGGGCACATTTTCCATTCTCTTGTTTGTCTGAGTTGTGGTCGAGACAATCTAACACATAATTGGCTTTTTCTCCTTGAAATTCTCATTACCCAAGGAGTTTCCCAGGAAATTTGGCAGTGAATTAAGCTGGAAGAGCCAGAAAGGTGCTGCCAAGAAAGCAGAAGGGGGAATACCATGTGAAGGATGGGAGTATGAAGGGACTTAGAGTCAGTGACAAAACAGGCAAGCTGCAAATAGAAGTGATTGCCAAAACTGATACTGATGTGGATGGCCTGTTTCATGTGTAATCAGAATAACTGGGGTTATTCTGGAAATAACTGGGGTTATTCTGGAAATAACTGGGGTTATTCTGGAAATAACTGGAAATAACTGGAAAGAGCCCCTGGACATCATCTACTCCATGCCCCCGTTCAAAAATCAAGAATAGGAAACACAGGAGCAGTAAAACACATCTGAGGAATCCCTGGGAAATGTCTGAATGCTGCACTTGTAGGTGCCCATGATGGGGTCCTGATACAGCCCTGGGCACCCTGGTGAGACTCAGGGGTTGGATGTAATTTAGAAATTTGCTTTGATTTGAGAAAGGGAATTGGACCARGTAACTTCCCAAGGGCTCTTCCAACCTGTTATGCAACAAATGTATAGTAGTAGAGATATAATAATAATGTATTTTTTCTTACAAAATTGTGATCTGTTAATTTTTTTATGATTCTCAAAATGATTTTATATAGTCTGAACATCTTGTTATAATTTAAGATGGTGTGCTCTACTAACTTTTCTCTTGCCAGAATAAGAACAAGTGAAGATACTATTTTTTCATAATACTTGTAAGTCAGAGCATGTGTTAACTGCAAAGTATTGTAATAATGCTTGCTAATTAATTTTCWCAGAAACCTTGTTAGAATAGGTCAGAATGACTTTCATTTTAGAGACAAGGAAACAAATGACTGAGCAAATGGTTTTGTTACCTGTCAAGAATGTRGATGTCACTGAAAATTCTTTCCTTTGTATTTCCCTCCAGTCTGTATTGCCTCTCAGGACAGAGGTTAGGTAGCAAATTGAAGGCAGCTCGTTTCTGGAAGTGCAGCTGAATGTTAAAATTCAACAGGGATAAAATTTCCTGAGAGCAAACCTTCTGGGAATAGTGACTTTTTCTGTGATATAGCTGGAGGCACAGATCTTTCCCCCSTGTATGCTGCTGCTTGTGGTGATTATATTTTCTGAGTAAATCTRAAAAAAATTCATTGCTAAGGGGCAGTTCTGAATTAAACCTGGGAAATTAAAAGCAGGGAAAATAAAAGGCTCATRTTTTATATATTTATTCCTCCATTGGTTTTGTTTGAGTTATTAAATGCTACATAATTGCCGCATAGTGAAAGGTCTGTTGCTTTTGCTGYTTGTTGAATATTCCTTAAAATAACAGTGTTGCTTCATCAAAGTTGGGATCACATAAACTTGATAGCAGTGGATCTTGTGACTGGCACTTGCATGTCTTCTTAAATAATGATTCTTGGGGATCAGTGCAAAAATGGATCTTCAAGAAATCAGAAAAATAASTGGCTACCTCGAATACAATTAAGGTCTTGCTTCCTGTAAGAGATTGTTAGTAGTTCCCTGGCCTTGGTCACTGCCAGTGACCATTATCTGGATAAGGATGTTGCCATATATCCCTTGAAGGTTTTGTCAGATGGGAATTAACATTCYCTGCCCTCTTTTTGAACATTTATAMTGATAAACATAATGTACCATGCCAACAGTGTGCTTTTGCTTCAAAAATTTTGCAAAGGAAGTAAGTTTTAAAGRAATTCTTCCCAAGTGAGCAAAAAGCATCTTTGAAGACTGACTATAGCCTTGTTTAGTTACCCAGAGACCCCAGTTGATGGATGTGGGAGCAGATGATAYCATATATATGAAGACATATTTATTAAAGAAAGAACTTAAATGACATTCAGTATAGCCAAAAACATTCCATTTAAGTGGCTTAAACAACACACTGAATTTTGTCTAACTGAATTACTACAACTTCTAGTCAGAGATCAAACAAAACAGCTTGAAAGTCAGTTTAAGGCAAAGCTTTGGGTGAGTAGGTGAAGGATTGATAATGAAGTACTTTAATGACATTGAAATGTGATTTAAAATGAAAAAAAAAAAAATGATGCCATGGGGATTTAGTATGAAATCCTTGGAGGCAGCACTGTTCACTGCATCATGGTAGGACAGCAGCATGTTGCCTTCACTTAGCCTTTCATCCAGAAAAGCAGGACACYGAGGTGGAAATGAGCTGTGCACACAAGTGGATCTCTTCTTCACATGTGTATAACTTTATCCATTATTGATGTGCAGCCCCAGGCAGAGAAGGGGATGAGATGGTGCTTGGCAATTATGAATGGCTCTGAAGTGCACAAGGATTAGATGTGAGCTGCAGCTGAACATGAAAGGGACTCAGGGATTAGAAGGTAAACCCAGCCCCAGTCTAGTTTTGTCCMAATCCCCCATGTGTGCTGCTGAGGAGTGTGCAAGCAAAGTTATTCTGGGTCCTTGGGATCCCTTTTAGCAGAGAAACCCAGCCTGGAAATGTGCCTGCTGCCCATTTCTGCAGTGGAGGTGGGGTAAGGGTTGGAATAGTTCATGGTGGTGTTGTGCAGACTTTAGGCAAACTTTAATTTGAACAGGAAAAGCCTGGGTAGGAAAAACACATCATATGGGATAAAGGAGCTGTGCAGGCAAACATTTTTGGCTTCTTCAGGAGAGCTTGAGCAGTCGTGTGGAGCCACATCAGTTCAGAGTTACTTGCTGAACATCAAACCTGTACATTCTCAGAGCAGTTCAATCATGTGCCAGTGCAGAGGGCTCCATTCTGCTGTCCAGCAAGTGGGATGGCAGTGTCCCTCTGCTGTCATCATCAAAATCTCTGCATTTCACATGAGGCCCCTTGAGGCCCAAAGAGCCTGGGGCAGGGTGGTGATGGTCAGGGTTGGGCAGCAGTGAGCATAGCAGCAAGCATTTGCATCTGTAAAACACCTGCCAAGGCAATGCTTCCATGGGGTGGCTCTTTCTGAGGACAGGGGATTGTACATGGCTGATCCATGACCTGGTAACCTGCCTGAGCAGCGAGTGATCAGAACAGGCACAAAACAGCAGACACTTGGTACAATGCTGATAAGCTGCCACAGCTGCTTGTAAACCTGCTGAGGTTTTGTCACTGAAAAGCTTTTTGCCACTTCTGTAGTGGTTCCACCTTCTTTGGTCTAAAATTAGAGCCCAGACTAGAAAGGGAGCAGGGAGGAAACCAGCACACTTTGCTGACAGTCACTAGAGCTGTGCTTTTTTGTTTTTCATTGAGGTAGCTAAGAAGTGGCTTCGATGTTCTTGGCTTCCTCCTGCCTTTTATAAACAAACTACAGTGGAATTACATCTCCATCTTTGTGCACAAAGGATTAATGTATGTTTTAAGCAGTAAAAAGCTGTCAGAGTGCAGGGTTAGCTCGTAGCAGTCTGTCTGTGGTCACTGGGGAGCAGCTGGAGCCAGGCAGMAGCTCAGCTGTGTGGGGAGAGCTGCACTGAGTGGTCAGGTCCCTTCACTGGTGAAACCTTTGTCTTTACAGGCCGGGTGTCATTTTTCACCTCTGGATCAGAGAACCTCCATTGGGTGGAAAAGGTTCAGTGGGGCACTCGCTTTGCCATCACCATCTCCTTCACCTGCGACCCAGAGCACGGCATCGGGGACCCTCTGCTGGCCTGAGCCTGGGCAGGGCATTGGGGACTGGGCTGAGCCCTGGGCACGGCATCGGGGACCCTCTGCTGTCCTGAGCCCTGGGCCTGGCATTGGGGACCCTCTGCTGGGCTGAGCCCTGGGCACGGCATCAGGGACCCTCTGCTGGGCTGAGCCCTGGGCACGGCACTGGGGACCCTCTGCTGGCCTGAGCCCTGGGCCTGGCATTGGGGACTGGCCTGAGCCCTGGGCCTGGCATTGGGGACCCTCTGCTGGCCTGAGCCCTGGGCCTGGCATTGGGGACCCTCTGCTGGGCTGAGCCCTGGGCACGGCATCAGGGACCCTCTGCTGGGCTGAGCCCTGGGCACGGCACTGGGGACCCTCTGCTGGCCTGAGCCCTGGGCCTGGCATTGGGGACTGGCCTGAGCCCTGGGCCTGGCATTGGGGACTGGGCTGAGCCCTGGGCACGGCATTGGGGACTGGGCTGAGCCCTGGGCACGGCATCGGGGACCCACACGGCACAGGAGCTCCAGTGGAAGGCGAGAAGAAAGGGAGACACCATCTCCTGTCACCTCACCTGCGGTTGGAATTGCCCAGCTGTGCCAACACACTGTCACACACTTTGTTTTCACATGTCCTCCATAAACACTGCCAATGRTGGCTTAAGGACCATCTTAAATTTGATGCATTCTGAAAATGGTTTGTCCTCATGTGCCAAAGGGACAGGCTACAACGAAGAGTGAGCTCTACAGAGAAGAGAAACTGGGCTCTTCATTTTTTTACAATTCTTTAAAAATTCTTCCCGTTTGAAAGATACAAATAATCTTTCTGGCCATGCCTTGGTGACTCCCCAAGTTGCTGTTACTGTTTRATTCTTTAGTCTCTTCAGTTACTAATGTGATGTCGAAAGTCTGACCCAAGTTAACTGAGCAAGGTGAGTGTTATTCTCTAGAACACACCTTCTGTTGAGAGGATGGATTTTCCTGAGCATGGGGATCAGTGGGCCATACACCTTTGGATTCTGGGACTTACTTGAGCTTTCTTTTATTTAATTACTACTGATTCAATATCCAGGGAGTCTCTCAATAGCTATTTTTAGACTTCTCTTTCCCAGTTTAATATGAAGACTTTTTTCTGTTAAAAAAGTCTGCTCATCTCCTCTAGGGCCACTGTTCCTGAATATTAAATTGCAGGGACTTCAAGAGGAGCTGTGTGCATTGCAGTACAGATAAAGTAACAAACGCATGCATAATCTTGCCAGCTACTGTGGGTTTTTACTGCAATGAAAGATTTTTATGGGTCAGGAAATTGATAAATAAATGGTAGGAAAATTTTTTGACTGATTTTTTTTCTCAATGAAATTCTGAAGCAGCCATGTTGATCTGGTTTATTAGTTGGATGTATAATTTCTGTGAAATACTGAAAATCTGGGAGTGTGCTTTGATTTATTTTTAAATTTTATGCATACAGTTTTGACTCTGTAATGTACCTTTTTATGGAAATAGTAAATATTGGAGGGAATTACAGTGAAGATCAATATAAAGAGGAATATGTGAGAGGACACTTGGACTTGGGATGGCTCTCATTGGACACACTCTGTAATTAGTCCTCTGTAATGTCATTTCATTGTTCTCAAMCCTGAAAAGGGCTTCCTTGTCTGTATTAAAAGGCAGAATTGTTAAAATGGTTGGATGCAAGGAAATAATAAAGTCATCTGGGTTTCATATTGAAATACTTGTCTTAAAGCCTGTTTTTTTCCAAGGAATTTGCATTACACCCCAGTTTTAAGTCTGTGTGAAGGCAGACCAGGTTCACCAGCAACTGCCTTACTGGCCTGAGCTTGGTTCCAGGCATTACCCTGAGTTTTAAATGTAGGGCATTTTCCCCAAAAACACCTGATAGAAGTGTGGAGTCTGAACATGAATGGACCTGTGTTTGCTGGTTACTCCTGTCTGTCACACCATCTGTGAGTGGCACTAAAGGGAAGTGTCACTTGGGGAGCTTCTCTCTATCAAATCCTGCTCAACAAAATCATCTCAGACCATGGGGGAAATCACAGCTCATCTCCTCTTGCATTTTCATCTTTTGAAGATSCTGTGTATTGTAATATCTCCTGCTGGGAACTAATGAACATTCACAACTAAAATCAAGCTGGTATTTCTCTGTTGGAGTCTTTAAGCCACAGTAATCTGATCAATACGATGACCAAACCTGTCACCTTTATTTATTGGAGAATTGTACACTGTACATGGTAGGAGAGCTGTTCTTTGGAAAGAAGCTCAATAATTCAATGGATGTTTTAGTGCCACTGAGATTCTTCCATTTAAAGCTTCAATATGCAGACTGCTAAAAGCAATGCCTGGATCTATAGAGAATTTAAATGGCAAATGAGGAAGTGAAGTGCAATGTGAAAGTTTCTGAACGAAGCCTCCAGCAGAAAGCAGTAATTGCAGCAGGCTGATGTTCCTGGGGCAGAGGGAAGTTGGAGAATTTACTGATCATGAGAAACAAACTTGGCTTAATATATTTTAGGCCACTTAAATATTCCTGAATAACTGTCTATTGAGGGTCTCTTTCCAGCTAATGACATATAATYCTGAATTTGAAATACTTTAATTTTTGTCCTTTTTGAGGCTCAGCTGCCTGTTGCTACTGGGAACTGATTCTTAGAATTCTGATTACTCCAAGGGCAGGATTGGTTCAAGTAGCAGAAATCTGGTGCCAAGCTGCTGCAGACAAGTGCTGTTAATTAAACACGTGGTGATGACARAATGTACCTTGATGTGTCCCAGTGGTGTGAGGACCTTTGTAAAGAGCCCTTGTGCTTAAAACAAAGTGAAGAAAGGTCAGTGCTTGTGCAGTGTAAATTGGGGTCCAGTCCCGATGTTAAAATTACAGCTTTGCATCTGAAAGCAGATTTGTTACAAGAATCTGGGAATGCTGGTTTGWGTTTTTAAATGAAATTGTAAGGAAAGGAAAAGGCTGCCACTGTGAGTAGTCCCAGAGTAAAACAGAAAATGCAGCAGGAGAGCAAGACAGATTGGACTCTCTACAATGAGATTGAGTGAAGCCTCCCAAGGATTCCTGTGAAGTKTTACTACTTTTTAAACTCTATTTCCATTCAAATGTTCTGTGGAATATCAAGAACTTCTGAAAAATTGCCAGGTATGTGGTCAGATTAGATTTTTAGTGTACACCTACCTTTCAGTTCTGTAGTGTGCATTAAATTTTAATTTTTTATCCCCTGTGATTCTAGGAACTCTAGGGGGACTTCTTGGCATTGCTCATGTATAACATTTTCATTGTGTAAGCAGTTGTGGAATCATGATGGCTTTGCATTCCCTGTGAGTCAGCTGAAGGTTGGGGAGGTACATTTATGGGAGATTTTCCTGAATAAGTCTAATACACCCAAAATATTCCATGCTCCGTCTTAATGAATTTCAAGTCCAGAAGTGTTTACAAGGATACCCTATTTACAAAAAGATTTAAATATGGATTTACAGCAGAAATTTGCCTTCATGTCTTACTTTTAAGATCAGCATCTCAGCCAGGTGCTTTGTGAGGCTGTAGCTCATAATAATGTGCACATTAAAATAAACGTGGCTGGAATGGCATTGATGATATCTGTGCTGACAGGGAAATCTGGGTTTGTTTTTTCAGTTGCATTTCTTAGTATTGAATTTCTCCTTTATAGCTTTCCTTTCCCCGGTAAATGAAGTTGTTTTTAACATGAGAGTTCTTCAGGTTCCTTGTGCATCCAGATGTCCTTGCTCAGGGTTTGCAGGTGAATGGTTCTCTAACCTGCTCAATTTCTGCAATATTTTTGTCTTGTCTCAGTTYTCTAAAACCAGGAAATGCTGCTGGAGGTCAAGGCTCTTTGAGTGGGGAGGAATAAATACAACCAATCGCCCCTCTCCAAGTGAAAAAAAAGAAAAAAAAATCCCAACTCCAGTCTTTCCTTATTGAGTCACTCGGAGCAGCAGAAGAGTTATTTCCTCTCTGGACCACAGGTGGCTCTAGCACACACTTTAGCTCTTGTGAGCATTTGGAGGAAGCTGAAAACTCATTTTACATCATTTGCTTCAATCAGCTCTCTTTTATTTGTTCATTTATCCCCAAAGTATCTGTGTGGCCATTTTTTATCTTCTGTGAGTGCAGGTGACTTTGTACTAAAGATTTTCAGGATGAACTGTGGAAAGGAAATAACTGTCCCATTTCCCAAGTGCACATCTTTGAGTGTGTCCATCATCTCCCTCAAATGCCTTATTTCATCTCTCACCTCAGCCTTGACCTGTAGCAATCCTGACCAGGGGATAGAAGCTCAGTGAGTTATTTATTCATTGTCTGCCTTGCTAGCACTGCAGAGGAGCTGCCTTTTTACTTGGATTCTTTTAGCCCATGTGGGGTATTAATCCTTCTGAAAAATTTTTAACTCCATTTTTGAGATTTTTCATTCTTCAGCATTCGTTTCTTGTCTAAATACTCTTTATTTTTCTTCTGATAGAGGCATTATCTGTGTTTGGACCAAAACCCTTTATTTCAGAGAGATTTATTTCCAGTTTGCCTGCTCTCCTGTAAAGCTGAAATAATGACAAGGTAGTGATCAGTGTTGCCTGCTTTTAAGCATTCTTGTTTTTCCTGATACCTCCCGGACAATGAGTGGGGAATTTTGAAACAAACACTTGAGAGAGCAGGTCAGACCTTGGGATCACAACAAGAAACGCCTTGCTTGAATAGTTCTGATTGTGGAATCAATAAAGCAGCCTGGAATTACCATCTCCTTTATTTTTTGTAACATTTAATTGCATCTAAACAAAGGAAAGCCATCAAAATACCTGGRTTGCCAGATAATCCTGAGACTATTCAAAGGACCAGGACTGGGTGAATCCATGAGCTGCCAGGTCACATTCATTTTTATAAGGGGCTGCACTGAAACCTTCACTTTTATGAAGGAAATATTCTRTTTCTAGAAAGAAGCTGAGATCTGGAGCATTCATGTTACATGTTTCTGGGAATTTCTTGTAAGAGGCCTCCAGTGCTCAAAAAAGCTCATTTTAGACATGGATTCTCTTCCTATGCTTTTATAAACAAACCACACCACCAACCCCCAGAAAAAAGCACCAGTTGGGTTCCTGAGGCAGGGTTTTGCTGGACAGACACCTTGAGGATTTCTCTCTTTCTTGTTCCTCAGTTTATACAATTATTTCAAGCTGTTTATGTAGATGCCTGGACACTTTGCTGCTGACTCAACAGAAAAAAATGGTGCTGTTTTCTTTTGAGAGAACCTTTCCCTGCCAGGGGAAGGTTTCTGGGTGGATTCCTACCTTGGAGGTGACCTCCTCAGCATATTAACTTGCCAGCCAGACCATTAAATCTTKCGGGAATAAACAAAGGCAGGTCCTGATGGAGTCATTCCGCTTGTCTTGGCTCTGGGTGGTGGTTTCTTCCATTCCCTCTTGCAGGCAAATGTGTTTATTTCTGATTTATGTTATGAAGAGGAGACGTGTTCTGGGAGTCCTCCCTGCSTAATGGGGCTTTAATTGTGCTTCACTGAATAACCTCGTGAAAAGGAGGCCACCTTTTACATTTTACCAGGTGATTCACAACTTWAAAAGCTGCTGTGAAATACCACGAACTCACTCTAAACCCATTTAGTCCCTGCACTTCTCAACACAAAAGAAATGAGAGAAGTGATCTTGCACTTGGATTGTTTCTGTTTTACTGTGGGCCATAAATGTGTGTTTTCTTTGTTCCTCTATTTTAAAGGAAAATAGGAATTAATTTGTGAGTCATTCCTTTCCACGGGGATGAATTTGATCAAAATAAACTCTGACTAGGAGGAAAAAAGCAATCCKACTGAAGTCAGCCAAGCAGAGGGGTAAGTTAAATTTAAGATGGTGTTAGGCAGAGAGCAGCTACAGGAGATTTCTCCCACACTGACGTGTCCGTGTCAATTTGAACTGACATTTTCTCCTTCTCCTCACTCTGCTTTATCGTTTCATTAGAAGATCAGACAACTGGAAACTGAGAGATTTCAGACAGCAAAGCTTTTGCTGTTGAAGTCTTTTATAAAATTTTCAATTGGTCCTCTTGATTACTGTTTTCTTCAGCTATTTATCCATCCTCTGTTTGAATTAATAATTGTCCATCCTCTGTTTGAATTTATAATGAACAGTGAATATGCTAAAATAGGTTATGATGTTACCTATTTAAAAAGTGATGAATTACACTTTCTTCTGCATTTATCTTGAATATAAAATTGACATTTTTTAAGAGATGGTATTCTCCATGTGTAGCTCATGTCTGTTGCACCTTTTCTGGCACTAGGCAGAATTTAGTCCTGTAAATAAGAAATAATCCAAGAAGAAATTAAAACTGAATTCATAAATATACAGATGTGTACAGAAAGTTTCCCTTTGGGAAAAAGAAAAAGGGTTTGAAAAATTTGTGGGTTTTGGAACTGTAAGAAAAAACAAAGTTTTGTTGATTTAATAATACTTTAGTGGGCGTTTTAGTGGGGGTGTAGGGAATAGGCACCTACTCTCCAYTGAGGTTGTACTCTGCTCTTACAAGCTTGCCCAGTATCTGGAAATCCAATCCTCTCCCTGCTCATTTTCCGTTTCTAGGTTCACATTTTGATGGAGATSGGGATCCATTCAGATCAGGTGCAGGAAAAGTCTCCTTTCTGTGCCTCAGCACCAGCGCAGGATGAGTGCCCATGGGTTTCTCAGGAGGGCTCTCTCACCTTGGGCAG